GAATGAACATGAGAAGCAGCTGGAACAGAACCTAAGGATGGGACCATAGGAGGTGTGATGTATAACTGACAAAGTGGCCTTTCCAAAGGCAAAGATCTAATAACGGTCAGAAGTTAAGGATGAAAGCAAATCATGGGGAATGTTCCAGAAGTAGTGGGAGTGGAAAAATCAGTGGCAAACCACCAGGGAAATGTCACAGGATGTACTTGCCCACCAGAATTCCCACAGGCAAGATTAGTTGCATCTTCCCTTCATCCAGAAGCATCTTAACACTGCTTTTGGCAAGCACAGCATGTCAAGAAACAGCTGGAAGAGGAGGTATTTTTAGGGCAGCAGAGGCCCTCTTGATACCCTTGAAATCAAGAGGTTGGGTTCTGCAGCCACACTATCTGTGCTTTGATTCCTAGCTCCTCTGCTTGCTACTGTGTGACTTAGGGCAATCAACATAAGGCAGTTCTGCCTCTGTCTTCTCATCTGTAAAATGGGGTACATGTTGTTATGAGGACAATGCGCCACGTAAAGCATCCAGAACTTCCTGATATGAGGTGAGGGCTCCATAAATACCAACTTTTGTATCATTAGTCTGCCACCCATGTTATTCACTCATCTGACCAGCGCGGAGTACAGCTGAGTGAAACTTCTATGCAGTTTACCTGTAGGCCTGTTTCCCTTAGACACTGTGTGTCACATCACACCACGATGTGATGAAGTGATGCTTCCCACTTACGCTTCCACTTCTATTTCCAAGTTAATGCAGGGCCAGGATTACCAGTACATCAACAGCATGGTGTTCCTTATAGACACTCCAAACCCTCCACCAATGACCACAGCTTCAGGCCATTGAGTTTTAAAAGCTTTTCAGTTTATCCTTGGAATGATTTTTACTGTTTTACTCTTTTCAGATATAATGCGTAGTAATTAAAGAAAATTTAGAACACTAAGGAAATTTAAATCACCCATAATCCCAGAGTTAATACTGGGATTTTGTTTTGATGTATTTCCTCCAAATCATATTTGCAAGCATACCAGAAAGCTAAGATCTTTCCTCCATAAAATGCAAATACTGATGGGGAAGGCATATATCAAGTCTTTATCAATTAATAAGTTAACTTTTAGTCAATATCAGTTCTAACTGCTGGAGATTTTTAAGTCTGCTCTTGATGTGGTAAGAATCTTTGATGGAACAATTAAGCACAAGCTAGGTAAAGGATAAAGTTGCAGTTGTCACAATGCATTCATTCATTCAATAAACATTTATTAGCTACCTGCTATGTGACCTGGCACTACTGAGCCCTGATGATGCAGAAATGAAAACAAGCAACTCCCTTATTTATTGCAGTATTGTTCTTACTAGGGAAAAATTACATTTATTAACAACCTAAATGTTCATCAGTAAATTATGGCACAGCGCTCCAAGAGAATCCTTAAAAAGCACGAAGTAGCAAGAAGGTGGAGTAGACATATTTTTCCCTACTTCTTCCACTAAATACAGGTAAAAGCCTTGGATATTATATATAAAACCAACAAGAGAAGACTCTGAAAGGTGGAGAAAAGGCAGAATGACTAGGGACTTCAGGACCTGAGGAATAATGTGGCAGTGAGTTTCTTGAGTTTTCTTTTTGCCTCATACATCCCAGATTTGGAGCTGAAGAAGCCAGCAACCTGGAAATGCCAACAAGAGTAGACAAGAAAACCTCAGCAAAAGCCTGCTGTCTCCAGCCAAAGGATTGGGAAAGGGGCAGCCTAGCAGGACAGAAAGCTTTTAGACAATGCTATGGACTGAACTGTATCCTCCCAAATTCATTTTCAAACCCTAACCCCCAATGTGATAATATTTGGAAATGGGGCCTCTGGGAGGTAATTAGGGTTAGATGAGGTCATGAGGGTGGGGCCCTCATGATGGGAGTAGTGGAAGAAGAGGAGGGGGAGGGGGAGAGGGACGGGAAGAAGACCACTACAATGACCAGACCATAGAGCTAGTTGGCTGCAAATGTGTGCTATTCAAAAAGAAAAAAAGGGAAGAAGAATCCCAAAGGCAATTCAGAGGTCATTGAGGCCACCACCTGGGTTTCAACTGGCCACATGCCTTCTCACTGAATCCTGGGGAATGGGGCTCCCTGGATCTTTGGGGGCATGATCCCTGCCTGGCAGAGCTACAGAAGTGGGACCACTGTCCCAGTGGGTCCAGGAGGCAGACCAGTGAACCAAAGAGGATTATTCTTAAGGCTTAAGATCTAGTGGAATTTGCCTTGCTAAGTTTTGGACTTGCTTGAGACCCATCACCCTTTCACTCTTTCCTATTTTCCCCTTTTGGAATGGGAATATCTGTTCTATGCCTTTCAGCATCTACAAAAAAACCCCTGTACTACAGCCAACATTACACTTAAGGGTGAATGATTAAAGCTTTCCCCTAAGATTGGGAATGAGGCAAGGGTGTCCACTCTCACTACTCTTATTGAATATAGTGCTGGAAGGCCTAGCCAGTGCAATAAGACAAGAAAAAGAATACAAACTGGGGAGAAAGAAAGAAAACTGTCCTGATTTGCAGATGACCTGATTGTCCACATAGGAAATCTCAAAGAATTTGCCAAAAAAAAAAAAAAAAAGAAACTTGTGGAACTAATAAATGAGTTTAACCAGGTCATGTGACATAAAATCAACGTACAAAAGTCAATGATTTCTCTATATACTATCAATGAACACAGAAAGGGTACCAAAATTGAAAATACACTACTATTAACAGTCACTCAAAAAAATGCTTAGGTAGAAATCTGACAAAACAAGTACAAGACTTGTATGCAAACTATACAGTATAACGAAAGATATCAAAGAAGATCTAAATAAATGGAGACATATTCCATATTCATGGATTGGAAGACTCAACATAGTAAAGATGTCAATTTTCCCCAAATGGATATAAAGGTTTAATGTAATTCCTATCAAAATCCCAGCAGGATTATTTTATAGATATAGACAAGACTATTGTAAAATTTATATGGGAAATCAAAGCAAAAAGCTAAAACAGTTTTGAAAAAGAAGAATAAAATGGGGGTAATCAGTCTACCCGATTTCAAGACTTACTCTACAGCTATAGTAATTAAAATTGCATAGTATTGGCAAAGAGATAGACACATCAGACACATATATTAATGGAATAGAGTAGAGAATCTAGAAATAGACCCACACAAATATGCCCAACTGATTTTTGACAAAGATGTAAAAGCAATTCAATGGAGGAAATTCTTTTCAAGAAATAGTGCTGAAGCAATTAGACATCCATAAGCCAAAAAAAAAAAAAGATCCTTGACCTAAATCTCAACTTTACACAAAAATTAACTCAAAAGGGATGATAAACTTAAATATGAAATATAAAATTACAATATTTTAAGGAAAAAATAGAAAGTCCTTGGGATGTAGGGCTAGGCAAAGAATTTTCAGACTTGACACCAAAAACAGGATCCGTAAAAGGAAAAATTGATAAATTAGACTTTGTCGAATTTAAAATTTGCTCTACGAAAGACTGTTAAGAGGATAAAAAGACAGCTCTGGACATATTTCTACAGAGACATATTTGCAAGTCGTATATCTGACAAAGGATTAGTATCTAGAATATATAAAGAATTATCAAAACTCAACAGTAAAATAAGCAAAGCTCCAATTAGAAGATGGTCAGAAGACATGATGAAGACATTAAAGATGGCAAATAAGCACATGAAAAGATGTTCAATATCATTAGCCATTGGGGAAATCCAAATTAAAATCACAATGAGATATTACTACTTGCTTGTCAGAATAGCTAAAATAAAAAATAGTGACAACATGAAATGCTGGCAAGGATACAGAGAAACTGGATCACTTATATGTTGCTGATATGAATATAAAATAGTGCAGCCACTCTGGAAAGCAGTTTGGCAATTTCTTAAACTAAACATGTAATGACCCTACAACCCAGCAATCACACTCTTGGACATTTATTTCAGAAAGATGAAAATGTGTGTTCAGTTCACACAAAAACCTGTACACAAATGTTGATTGCAGCATTATTCATGGTATCCAAAAACTGGGAACAACCCAGATGTCTTTCAACAGGTGAGTGGTTAAACAAACAGTGATATATCCAAAATACTACGAACAATAAAAAGGAATGAACTATATTGATACACACAACAACGCCTGCACGACTCTCCAGAGGATTATGCTGCGTGAATAAAGCCAGTCCCAAAGGTTATATACTATATGATTCCATTTATTTGACATTCTTGAAATGACAAAATTATGGATTAGTAGTTGCTGGGGATTAAGGAGGTGATGGGAGTGGGAGAGAAGTGGGTGTGGTTATAAAAAGGCAACATGGGAAATCCTTGTGGTGAAAGAAACGTTCTGAATCTTGACTATATCAATGTCAACATCCTGGTTGTGCTATTGTGCTATAGTTTTCTAAGAAGTTGCTGTTGGGGAAAACTGGGTAAAGGGTATATGAGATTTCTCTGTATTGATGATCTCAAAACATTTAATTAAGAAGAGTCAGGTAATGTTTTTTGTCTTTGCTTTGTTTCTTAAAGATTTTATTTTTCCTTTTTCTCCCCAAAGCCCCCAGGTACATAGTTGTGTATTTTTAGTTGTGTGTCCTTCCAGTTGTGGCACGTGGGACGCCGCCTCAGCATGGCCTGATGAGCGGTGCCATGTCGGCACCCAGGATTCCAATGGGCGAAACCCTGGGCCACTGAAGTGGAGCACGCGAACTTAACCACTTGGCCATGGGGCCAGCCCCTTGTTTTTTTTTTGTTTTTTTTTTTAAGATTTTATTTTTTCCTTTTTCTCCCCAAACCCCCCGGTACATAGTTGTATATTCTTCATTGTGGGTCCTTCTAGTTGTGGCATGTGGGACGCTGCCCCAGCGTGGTTTGATGAGCAGTGCCATGTCCGCACCCAGGATTCAAACCAACGAAACACTGGGCCGCCTGTAGCGGAGCGCACGAACTTAACCACTCGGCCACGGGGCCAGCCCCCCTTGTTTTTGTGTTTTAATAAATATTCATCGTAGCCATGAGGGAAGCTGCTATTTGAAAGAAGATATAATTTTTTTTTTTAAAGATTGGCACCTGAGCTCACATCTGTTGCCAATCTTTTTTTTTTTCTTCATCTTCTCCTTGAAGCCCCCCAGTACACTGTTGTATATTCTGGTTGTAGTTCCTGTGGTTGCGCTATGTGCTGTGTGCTGTGTGCATCAAGCACGGCTTGATGAGCGATGTTATGTCCGCAGCCAGGATCTGAAGCGGCGAAACCCTGGGCCACTGAAGTGGAGTGTGTGAACTTAACCACTTGGCCATGGGCTGGCTACTCAAGTAATGTTTTTGCTACTTGGGATATGACAGATGTCCTAACAAAGAGTCTTCCAGCTTGGTCCCTACTCCAAGCCTGCCTCAGCACCACTGTTCAACTGCTCACCTTCATTGGTTCCCTGTTGCCTCTATCTAGACTATTCCATTTAACACTTACTGCAACTCTATGAAGCGCCGTTATTCCCAGTTCTGATGAGGAACCTGAGGTCAGTGAGGTCCATTGACTTGCCCCAGACCACACAGATACAAAGCCCAGTATTCTCAGACTCTAAAGACCATGCTCTAACCCACCCTCAAGATGCAGAAGATCACGTTTTAATTAAAGTGGGGAAAGGGGTGGAGAAGAGAAATCAAACACCTCAGGCATTCAGAGGACTCTAATCACGTAGGCACAGGCCCAATTACAGGTCTCCACACATCCCACCCTGCTTAGATGGCCCTGCCCAAAAGCCACTCCCTCCAGGAGGCCTCTCTTGAATTCCCACCCCCGGGGCAGCTTGCCCCCCTCCTCCCAGACTGCAGAATCCCTGATTCAGTGCAATCCACACTGTTCATTGGTTGAGAAGCTGTGTCTGTTGAAGACGACAAACACGTAAGATGGAAAACATCCATCCCGTGTGGAGATGCCGGAGCACTCGAGGAGCCCAGAGGAGCCAGGTGCCAGCCCAAGGAGAGGCTGGAGCAGGGCAAACCCCCAGGGGCAGCTGGTAAAGAAGCTGGGTTCTCAAAATTACAGTTTATTATTGCACAGAGCTCAAGGGTGGAGGCGGGGAGAAGAGAATGGAGAGGTTGGCAGGGGCCAACTGCACACACTAATCACCCGGAGGGAGGGTTAAAAATGCCGCCACTTGAGGGCCATCCTCAGAGATCCAGAACACAGCTCATCTGGAGTAAAGGCACCCTGATGGTTCCGACATCCAGGTGATGGGGCCTGGTACACAGGCTCGGTTTGAGTCTCCTATTTTTCCCATATCCAGTCTGGTGTGAAGTTATGGCTTAGAGATAGATACTGAAGTATTTACAGATGGGACAGTTTACGCAGAGTGTTGAATTCCATGCCAAGGAGTTTGGTTTATATTTTGAAGGCAAGGGGCACCTATAGAAGGATTTTAAGAAGTGGTTACAAGATCAGAGTTGTAATTTTGAAAGGTCATTGGGATTTGTCCCAAGAATGTCCTTTGTAGCAAAAGAAAGTCCCGAATCACAGGTTGCATTCTGTTGTCACATCTCTTTAGTCACCTTTAATCTGAAATACTTCCTCAGTGCTTTTATTGCCTTTCATGAACTTGACATTTTTGAAAGTTCTGGCCGTTTATTTCGTAGAATATCTCTCGATTTGGGCTTGTCTGATGTTTCCTCATGATTATAGTCAGGCTATGCATTTTGAAAGAAATACTCCAGAAGTAATGCTGTCTCCTTCTTAGTGCATCATATCAGATGATGTCAATAGGTCCCATTAATTGTGGTGCAGATTTAAATTATTTGGTTAAGGTAGTGCCTGTCAAGGAGCTTTATTGGAAAACTACCAATTTTCCCTTTGTAATTTATATCATTATCTCTTGTGGAGAGATTTTGAGACAATTATAAATATGCTCTTACTCAAGTTTTTACCCTCTAGTTTTAGTAAAAATTAATGATTCTTGCTTGAATCAATTATTACTATGACGGTTGCCAAATGGCAATTTTCTACTTCCGTCATTCCTTTCATGTTTATCTGTTGGCTTTCTTCTGTAAGGCAGGAATTTCCCTTCCCCTCCATTTATTTACTTACAGACACACACATATGAACTCATGTATTCTTATTTTATTCAATGAATCCCTTGACTTTTAATCTTTCTGCATCATGTTTTAGGTGTTTCTCTTATAAATGGCATATAGCTAGACTTTTTCCCCCCCAGAATGACTTTCTAACCTTTAAACAGTGAGTTTTATTCGTTTATATGAAAATGTGAATATAGTATACATAGATTTATTTCTACAAAAAAAATTATGCAGATCTACATGTACTGATGTAAAAAAATGTCTAAGATGTAGTCTTAAGGAAAAAAACAAATTGCAGAAAAGTATGTATATTAGGAGCCCATCTGTTAGGGGAAAGCATATATGCACATATATTTCCAGTCATAAAAATTTCTGGACGGTTACACAAGAAGCAGGTTAACATTTGTTACTTCTAAGGAGCTGGACTAGGGGTAGGGGTCTACTCTACTTATACAGTCATTAAAAATTATAATATATGTGTACAGCACCAAAATAGTGCCAGCATTAATATTCCATATATTTTTGAAGAATGAGTAGGTGTTAAGTAAGGGAAGAAGGATGGCCAAGAGGGGAAGGCCGTAGTTCAGAGGAATAGCACGTGGTTTACTGGGCCCAACCTTTTGGTGCTTGCCTGGGGGAGTGGAGGGCAACACAGGACAGCTTATGAGAACACTGAATTCCATGCTAAGGACTTTGGTTTGTATTTTGAAGGCAAGGGGCATCTATTGATGGATTTTAAGTAGAAATGGTTAAAAGGTCAGATTTGTAATTTTGAAAGGTCATTGGCAACAGACTAGGGGGAGAGAGGCTAAAAGTGGAATTAGGAAGGCCAATTAGATTGTTACAGTAATCCGGAAGGAAGATGAAGAAGACCTGAACTAAAGTGCTTAGCTATGAAGGTGGGGAAATCATTAAGACTTTCACACCTATTGGATGTGAGAGTCAAGAAGAAGGAAGAAGTCAAAATTTCTTTGTCTTAAGCACTGTGTGTCTGGTGGTGAGTGCACGTAGATAAGTAGAGGAGTAGATCTGGATGAAAGAAGAGTCCAGCTTTAGGAATGTTGAGTTTAAGGTGTCTTTGGGACATCTAAGTGGTGATTTAGTAAGCCATTGGATATGTGAGGCTCGAACTCAGAAGGAAAATTCTAGGCTGGAATTAAACTTTCCTTTGTTAGTGCAAGAGAGGATGGATGGCCAGAAAGGCAATGATTATTTTGGGTAATGATCAAGCATGATAGGGTATGGACTTGGTGGATTACTTCGTGTTAAGGTTCTAACTAAAAGGCTAATTAAAAGTTTCAGTGTCAGCAGCTATCAAGGCCTAAGGGAGTAAGACAGGTTTAAGGATGATACCAGGAGACTATTGCTATTAAAATAACCAAATAATTTTGGATGTCTGCAGCAAAAACCTCAGTTGTTTGTGCTTCCAAGGGGAGCTGTCAATGACAACTATTGGAACACATTTGGCAAGAGGTGGACTTTACTTGAAACTGACAATTACATTATTTCTTCTGATTAGAGATCCAAAGATATGGATTGGAGAGTAGTCAATAGAGGTTATTAAATCAGATGAGGATCCTGAGTAAAATATTTGAAAGCACATGTTCAAAACTTTGGATGTGATTCATAGCATCCATATGAGGAGCATTAGGTAAAATGATCAGAGAAATATTAAAGAAAAATCAAGAATCCAGATTTTTGCCTTCACAGCAGGCATCCTATGTCATGGATGGGGTAACCTAAGGTCAGTGCTGTGGGTTGATGCCTTCCCATGGTGTGTTCCAACCTGGGTCCCTAGGTGAAGGACTTCACACCACAGAGCCCTATAGATTGTTTGCAAAGTATTAGGTAAATATGTGTATGTGTGCATTTTCTGGGAAAAATGGCCCCCAAACCATTACTGCAGCAGCTGATCTTTTTCTTTCTCTGACGTCCCTCTCCTTTCTTTTTCCTTTTTTGTATTTCCAACTTTCTTTTCTTTCTTGTCTATGCCTTTGGCTTAACAGGCCATGGAAGAAATTTTCTTACCCCATTGTCTAGCCCTGTTCATCTCACATGTAGTTAAAATGACTACTGACCCTTGGTCTAGAACAGTGATTCGAAGTCCCCTCCTTCTTTTAAGAAATAAATATATAATAGGCCCTCCACCAATCTTTTTGTTTTACCAAACAAAATCTTGCATGGAGACCAGTTTAGAAAAACTGATTTTAAAAATAAAGAGTATAATATCAAAGTTGAGGAAGCCTGGTTCTCACCCACCAGGCCATCCCATAGACATATATTTTCAAACCACTGGTCTAAGCAGGGCCTTGGGGTGGAGATCAAGAGAGAAACTCCAGTAGCATCCTTACAGGGGAACAGCATTAACCAAAGTGCCAAGCATGGGATAAGTGTATTTCTGATCTGCTAGGCTTAAAAGATTATCCCGATGGGGTGGCTCTTGAGAAGGGAAAGTAAGCAAACTCTGGCTATCTGGTTAGTTTAGTTGTGGAGTATAATGTGAGTGAAACTGATGTTGCAGGACTGATATCTTCATCAGTTGGATCAGCTCTATTTCATGCCTACAAGGCACACTGTAGGTTGCAGCTAAACTTCTCTCCAGAGTGGGCTATTTGTGAGAGATTTGGAGTGGGAGAGTTGATAGGGCTACATGCAAATCCATCTCGAATGCTCAAGAAAAACCCACTCAAACTGCGAAACAGTGCATATGATTTGTCAATTATGAAAAGAGGACCTTTTTGAATATATGTATCTTTAGATGGCTACTGGATATTTAAGAAATCGTGTCAGATGAAGTCATTAGTCCCTGTTCCATCTCAACCCCTTATTGACTGTCCATAATGAGTACATAGTTATCCTTAGGCTTCTTCATCATCTTGGGCCAAAGGAAGGGCCAACCAGTCTTGAAGGTTTTTAAGTAGTTGTGGTTGCTCCTACCAGCAGTAGAAGTGCCAGATACTTCCGTGGCACCATGAAGCCATGCTGCCCAGCCACTTCCTTCTCTAGCCCTAGATGAGGCCACATCAGCTCTCCACCTCCTAACAGCCAGATTGTTTTGGGTAACCTGGATATTTCTGTTCTCCTGGGCTTTGGTGCCCTGGCTGCAGACCTAGTTCCTGCGCTTTCTCATCCACTTTTTGGATGGATTCTTACACACTTGGCCAAGGTTCTCCAACCATCTGGGCTCAATTCTTCTGACACTGCCCTCATTTGATGCCTCTTTCCCCACTAAGAGCTTCACTCCCTCCTCTATCCAGGGATTTGATCACCTGTCTGCACTTGGATTGGGCTTGGTCCACCTAGTTTTCTGCCATGCCTGCTTCCTCCCTGCCACCTTGCTGCTGTCCCTGGGCAGGATGTCTTTATTCCCTTGTAGGAGCATAGACTGCAGAATGAGTCACTTGGAAAGGCCAGGCCTTTCTTCCAGTGATGATGTCATTGCCCAATAATTTATTTGTAACTCTTCTCTTAAAGCCTGTATCACATTATTTTGAATATCTTCAGTGACTATATCTCAGGGGTTGACTTCTTTTCAAATGGCCAGACATTATTTAGGGTCATGCACAATAATGAAGACTGTGATCAAACACGACACCACTATTTGTATCACTAAACTAATAAGATTGATTTTCTTTTGTAACTTGTAATCTGGGCTCCAAAAGAAATTCCGTTAGACTATAAGCAGGGGTCTGGGCTGTTTGCTCTGCTCATCACTTTATGCTCAGCTTGGAAAATTGTAGGTGCTTAATAAATATTTGTTGAATGAATGAGTAGGAGGACTTCCAAGAATGTCTGGAGCAAAAGCAGCAGCATTTGAACAAGCAGATGACCTCTCAAGGTGACAGCCGTTAGAGGACCCCCACTGGCTTAGCACAGAAATCCTGATATGCATGTTCCTCTCTCCTCATTCCTTTATGCTCATGTGGAAATATACTGCTGACAAGTTGCATACCCAGAGCGTTAGTAACAATTAAATCAGGAATGTAAACCTTGGGAAGATCTCCATGTTGAAACCATGTGTGCAGATGTTGTTCCCAAGGGAACTGCTGCAGTGGCTGATGGTCAGTACCTCTTGTCTAAGTCTTTCCACTGTAAATTATTCATACCAGAAATGTAAAAAAAATGTTTTCAAGTACAGCTCAGTGCTTTAGATAGATTTGTTTTTCTCTTCATGTGGTAGAATCACATCTGGACATTAGTTAGATATATTTCATCTAAAAATAGCATTTATCCAATTTACTGTCACTTGAGGAGAGAGATGTGTTTTTTTGAGGCAGACTCCACTTATAATTCTCTGCGGTCTTTCATGGCCCACTGCCACTTAATATATAAAAAATAAAAGTATCAGGTTGTGTGTGTGTGTGTGTATGGAAGTACAATCAAATCTTATTTTTACAGACTGAAAAAAATAACTGCCTTGTCATTCTCCTGTTCTCCATTTTTCCTTTAAAGTCGTTGCTGATCTTCCTGGTCATGTTAAGCCCTAAACTCAGCATCAGAACGACCTCCATCAGACTCTCCTTAGTAATTACTTCAGGCCACAGTACATGAATTTGGGGATTTTTGTTGGTCTTCTTTCAGACTGTCGTCTTTTTTGCTGTCATTGATTATTGTGTCCTCTCATCTATCATTTGGGGTGTAGAAAGAAAGGAGGAGAGAAATGGAAACTCAAGAATAAGAGATAAAGGAGAGAGGGCAGCAGGATTAGAGCACCAGGCTCATGAAACCCTCTAGAGCAGTCTGCACACATTTAAAGGCAGAAACTGGAATTAAATCTGACTAAAGAGAAACCAGCATGCCGCTCCTCCTACCTAAGGCGCTGACAGTAATTTAAGTAAATCAGAGCTGGCTCTGGAAGGGACTGATTGTAAATAAGGAAGCTCTTACTAGTCAATCCCAATTTCCCATTTGTCAGGGTCCTTGGTAGTTCTGGAAATACTCATCTTCAGGGACAGGACTTGGACCTTTCTTGCTTGTGACCCTTGTACTGTCTGCCTAAAGAGAACTCTGGCTTTTGCCCTTTTTCTCTGAAGCCACATCCCCCATACCCCCTAGCAATGGGATCATAATTGTCAGCAGTGTGATGTGGATAATTTCTGTTTTCCTTTTCTACACACCTTCCAACCAGAGTTGATGGGTCTGACCTGTCATTGCTATAATGCGTTGTCCCTCGCATGTCAAAGTGCCTTCCCTGGCTCTCAGTTAGTAGAGCTTATGGAGTTCCTTTCCATGCTGTGGGGCATAGTTTGCCTGACTCCATCCACATCCTCTACCCTTCTCATTTGTGACCTTCCATGGGGTGTGCAAAATGTGAAATGGCAGAGAAGTGTGAGGGCTACAGCCTGAGCTCTGGAATTGAGCAATACTGGCTGAGCTATATGGCCATTCAATCCAGGGCCTTGGTATCATCAGGACTGTGCTTTAAGCAAGTGTGCTAATGTCTGATCTGCCCATTGGGATGAGCTTAAACACATCTGCTCAGAAGAGTCTTCCAATCCATTAACACGGGGGCCTTCCAGTTCCTAAGCATATCCAGCCTGTAAAAACATTTGCAACATCAACCCTGAGATTGGACCTATTGAACCCTTTTCATTTTGTGACATATTTTTATAGATTTTCCTTCGGATACATCTTGGTATAAATGAAACAACAGACTTAACATTATAAGAGGAGACTCTCATTTGACTTCAGTTATTTGCTATCTTCACTTCTCAAGGATAAAAATTGAACAGATATGTATCATGGGTGGAATGAAATTAATTTTTACCACCCACAATAGTTCATTAGTGAAATAAGGAAAGTATTTAATGGATTTGTCCTTGGTGTGCCTAAAATTATTTCACCATAATGAAAGGTCTTGAAAGACTAAGGAAAAGTGTGATGACAATTAAATTGCCTATCTGAACAGTATTACTGTATGGAAGGAAAACAGTCTTAAAATAGCTCAGTGTAGAACTGAAAAAGATGGAGAAATCCACAAAAGAAGCACAAAGGTGTTGCAAATGGAAGGAAAATCTTTTTTAAAATACCAACACAGTACTTGTTCTTTGCTTGCAGAGTCCCAGATTTTCACGACCTTGCTTCCATTTCACTTTTGTGGAGGTGCGACTTCCTTCAGTTAGACTCCTAAGCAAGCTCTATTTCTTTGCTCTAAAAGGTAAACTTTCATTCTTCCCAAATGTACAGTAAAGCTTTGTCTTCTTCATGTTTTGAAACCTACTAATTAAGAAGTTGACACTCTCTATGAAAAAAGGCCACCTGGCAGAAAGACAGCAGGAGAGAATGTTTAACAAACAAACTTTGCCCCAGGCCTTGACTAGCGCCCATCCTGTGTCATGTCAGAGGTAGAAGGGTTCTTAGCGGCCGTCTAGTCCCACACCCTCTTCTACAAATGAAGACAATGAAGCAGAGAGAGTGTAAGTGATTTGCTCCAGAGCACACAGCCAGTTAGTGGCCAAATAAAAAGAGAATGCAGTCTAGTGCCTTCCCTCACTATGGCACCTGAACACCAGTGATCGCCCATTGACTTGAGAAAGGCTTGCCAGGCCTTCAGCATGAATCCATTTTTATAGCTATTAGTCTTTATTAATGTATCTAATTGAAGGAAGGAAAATTCCTTTGAAAAGTCCTCTAATGGAGACATTTCACAGATAAGTTATTTCAGTACTCCGTCCTTTGCTCTCCCTCCTGAGCCCAGGTTAGTGCGATTTGAAGACATGCTCCTTCAGATCCTGCAACAAGCCTGGGGGTAACCAGCAGCCCTTGGTTTGTTAGGTCAAGGAATGGTGACCCTCCTCAGAGTGCAGAGGTTCTCGAATCCTCTTGGTCTTATGAGGCTTATTTGTCTAAGTCTTACCTGCCTCTGCTCCTTTTGACTCTGAAAGGCAAAAGCGAGGAATGAAACCCAAATTTCCTTTTCATCATCCGGTAACACTGTGCCAAAACAACTGTTTCACTTTGCTGGTTTCCCAGCTGTGTTTTTATTGTCTGAACTTTAAAAAGTTATTTTAATGATAAGTAGTGTCTTCTGCAAGGTCAAGAGAAGGGTGAGTGTGAAATCTAGAATCTGGTGTGTGTCCTACCGTTTCGTTCTAACAATTCAGTGCTTAACTCTGCACTGGGCATTTGTTGTGTGGAGGCTGAGATTAAAAAAACAACAACAAAAAAACCCCAGAGGGTCCCCAGACTCAAAATTATGAGTCTGGGGAAACAAAACAAACACAATAAAAACAACTAGAAATTATAGGTGGTGACAGATAATAAAATTATCCATCCGTCCATCAAACCACTATGGCTGGCTCTAGGTAACTTTGTAAAGTGGGTGGCATTTAGTCTCTTCTCTCTGCCTGTCTGTGGCAGTCCCTTCTTCGTTCATCTTGCAGCTCACCCAGATGTAGAGAGGTGCTAACAGGGCTGGGACCAGCATGAAATGAGACACTTGCTTTGGGCACACAATTTAAGGGGCCACCAAAAATTCAGCAATCAAGATTAATATTTTAATGCACTATTTTAAAAATCCAAATTAATGCAACAAATTCATGATGAACAAAATATCCATATTTTAAATAAAAGAGGACCAGTATTACTGATTTTTTCCTTTTGCCTCAGCCTCTAATATGGCTCAGCATGGCATTCAGAGTTAATATCCAGAAATAAAACAGAATAAGAGTGTGTGTGTGTGTAAGAGAGAGAGAGATGAATCATAAAGCTGGAAGAAATCTTAGGCCCAAATGTTTAGTCCAATCAATTTTACAGGTGAGGAAACTGAGAAGTTAAATGTTTTGCCTCAAGTCAATCACAGATATCTTTAAAAATACTAAAGCTCAGGTCTCTTGACTACCAGGCCTGTGGCTACTTACACAATAGTGGCTTCCAAGGCAGAGGAGACTCGCATCCCCCAAAAGGATGCAAGCTCCAATGAATTGGTCAAATCAGGACATTTTAATGGGCTACAGACATAGAGCTTTTCAAATAGGTAAAGGTCCCAAAGCACATGCATAGTCTGTTTAGATACTGTGCCTGTAAGGTTTCCAGGAAAATAAAGCACAGTAAAGCATAATAAAGACCCAGGCACTCTCTCTTTTTGGATGCCAGTGCTTCCAGAGGGTTGTGGGCTGGGAGGGGTCTGTGATGTCTGGCTTAACGGGTATTCCCCGACGCCCTGGCCAGGAGACGCACCTGGCTTTGGTCATTGGGCTGAATACTCTCTTGCGCGTGTGTCTCATCCTTTTTCTTCAGCCCTGCTCACTGGTGGCTTTCCTGGCTTGGCTGTTCCTCCCGTTGGAGTGGTTTGACCTGAGGTTCGGATTTGTGCTTTGGTTCTGAGTCAGCCAGAGCGAGCCCTTTCAGTGACCCAGGCCAGGTCACTGGAGTTTGACGATAGGGCTTGGGGCCAAAGCACCAGCTAGAAAAACTGTCCCTTTGCCTGACTTTGTCCTCAGCGAGTATAGATTCCCTCACGACCTTACAGGAAGGAGTGGATGATGGAAGGAAGGTTTCGATGTTCCAGGTCCCTGGCCCAATTCTGTACTAGTCATACATTTCTCAACCTACAAATAACTATCAACATTCCATTTTGGAAGGGACTTAGAATACTGTCCAGGCATGTGGGGATGACAATCCCTGTTCCTCCTCTCTCCTTCCCTTGCCAAGTCTAGGAGGACGAAGACTACCCTATGTCTACGAGGGTTCTGAACACAGTGAGAGTCCTAAACAAGGCAAAGAACAGCGGGGCCTCGGTTGTTCCAGATCCAGCTCTTTCTTTGTCCTTCCACCATGGATTTTGGCTGAGTTGTACATCGTGTGGATGCTGAGGAGCTGGTCTAAGAGGACAAGGATCAGTTCTGGTTAAAGTGATCAACTCATCCCGGATTGCTTGGGACTTCCCCGGTTTTAGCATTGAACATCCCAAGTCCCAGGAGACCTCTCAGTCCCAGGCAAAGTGTCACAGTTGGTCAGCCTTGCTCCAGTGACCAGCAGCCAGTGGTCACTAGGCCACACAGTGATCTCTAGAGTCATTATGGAGGCGGAGTGTTTGGCCTTTTCTCAAGAATAAGATGGAACCCCATGTTTGCAGAGCAAAGGGGCAGATGAACTTGCTTTTCAAGTTTGGGCATAGAAACTCCAGCAAAACCTGTCCTTCAGCCTCTGATAAGAATCAGACGCTTTTGGCCAGGGTCTGTGCTGAAGGCTGCACTTACAAAGCAGTAAGAGTTTATTACTACCCCCACGGCACTTGGGCTGCCGGCCAGAGGTGTCTCATGAGGACCCTTGGGTAATAGGCAAGCACTCATATTGGCAACAGGCAGACTGGAAAATCCTGGGCATTTGATCCCTACCACCACTGTAATCAAGGCTGAGGGAATGAAGGCAGGAGCTGTCACACCCAAACCTCTAGGGACAGCTTTCCAGAAGGATAAACTGACCCGTAAGGCCAACCACAGAGTATCTTCAGTCACCAGGCCAAACTTGTCCTTAGTGCTCAGCCTCTCTCCAAGGACAGGGCTGATGGAGATGTGTGAGCCCATCAATACCTGTGTGGTGTGTGGCATTCTCTCACCTGGATTTTGAGAGGCAGCTGTGGACAGAAAGGCAAGAGAAGGAATGAGGGTTGGTAAGACCAGCAGAGTTAACCTTTTCCCTCTGGTATACACACACACACACACACACACACACACATGCTTTCTCTCTCTCCCCATCCCCCTCTCTCCAGGCTGATAAAAGCATGGAGAACTCATATGAGAGAACTAAAAGTGTGAAGTCCCAAATGAGTCCAGAAATGAGAGCAGAGTAAGTGTCTGAGTGGTGAAAGGGGTCCTGGTGCCCAGCAGCTCAGGCAAATTTTCACAGTGTTCAGGGTCTCCCTGAGAGACTTTCACCAAGCCGGTCAACTCAGGGCATCTTAAAGGCACCACTTAGCCTCCTGTAATAACTTCCATCATATTGGAATAAACAAAGCCTGCAGAGGTTCCAAAGAGATCACATGCTATGCAAGGATCTGCCAAGACTGTATGGTTAGGGAATGAGTAGCATGAAAGGATGGGTAGGATTTAGATAGAAAGAGATTGGGGTGGGGGTGGGGGCAGCCCCATTGCGTAATGGTTAAGTTTGGCACATTCTGCTTTGGTGGTCCAGGTTTGTGGGTTCAGATCCTGGGCATGGACCTAAACTACTCATCAGGCACATTGTGGCAGCGACCCACATATAAAGTAGAAGAGGATTGGCACAGATGTCAGCTCAGGGCTAATCTTCCTCAGCAAAAAAAAAAAAAGAGAGAGAGAGAGAGATTAGGGGGAGGTAGAACACATGAGGGTTAGCCAAAGGCTCCAACCAGAGAGCTGGGAGAGGTTTAAAGACGACCTGCATTGAAGCAGATAATAGTCACTGTTGCCTTATAGTTACTGGTATGTATGTCTAATTGTGTCTGAATTCCCCTTCCACTCACTTCCTCCACTTTCAGATTACAAGATCCATAAAGACAGGGCTATGTCTCTTCAACTCTATCCATATAAGTGTTTAACACAGTGCTTTTAACATCATAGGTATTCAGGAAACATTTCTGATAAAAATTGAAATGGAACTTAAGTACTGACTTATAAAAGTTTAAGGTATATATCTTGGGATAAAGAATGGCCACCATATGTGTGAAAATAAACCTGGTGAAGCAAACTGAAGTCCACGTCAGTTGTAGCAAGAAACATCAGAGTGCCCAAAATACAATTGTGGATTATTTCTATTATACATATAAGTCAAGTTATTAAAGCTTTAAAACTCAAGTATAAAAAGTACATGGACTTCACCAAGATCATGCACATCCTTTCAATTAATACAACTTTATCTCCTTAAAAATCATCCGTAAAATCAGACCATAAGTCACGTAAATGAGAATGACCAACTAGGGTAAACTGGAAGGGCTTTGTACGTGTGACCTCTCAGGTCACGCAGGCTTGCTCTACATCAGGGAGGCCAAACTCCAGTGCCGGTGAGCTGCTGACTGCTGGCTGAGGTGTTTGTTAGCTGACATTTCATCACTCCTCAGCTTATGCCTATCTTCCTTTTCTCTTTGCTTCCTATTGTTTTACTTCTTACTCCACCTTCTATTCCTCTTTATGTTCCTTTTCGTCTTCCTATATATTAAAGAGACTAATTGCCTGAATGCCCACTCCCTTCTCGGGGCATCTGTCCCTGCACACAGCTCCGCCTGCCCTTTCTCTACCACCTCACTCCCCTACTGCAACTGCTGCTGGTTCCTTCGCTTCCTGAGTCCTGATTGCTCAGCTTTTCATTTGGGTCCATGAGATCTTACAACCATCCCTCTCTTACTTGAGCTTGTCTAAGTCAATTTCTGTTCCTGCAACTAAGTGTCTCAAGCCCCTCTCCCCTCCCCCTTCCCTCCTCTGTTGTAGGTAAACCTGCCAGTGGCACCCAGAGGAATTGTTCAGCCTCCATGGTGTCACCCAGGACATAAAAGGGATATGGCCCAATCTGCATGCTATGAAGCGTCCGAATACTTGGAAATGGGTAGACAGTTGGTTGAAGTTTCTAATTTTTATTGGAGCATTTCAGCATCTTGTGGACAAGGCTCTGAAATGGTCATGGGTGCAGATCCTGGGCGCTGACCTACACGACTCATCAGCCATGCTCTGGCAGAGACCCACATATAAAGTGGAGGAAGATTAGCACTGATGTTAGCTCAAGGCTAATCTTCCTCAAGCAAAAAAAGAGGAGGGCCTCTATACCTAAGCTGCATTTAAGCACCTTGTTGAGACCATTAACTGAATCTTGTTGTGCAAAACAAGGAAGATTTGCACTGATATTGCCACTAAGCCCTGCCCATGTGGGAGGTTTAGCTGGATATAGGTGGTCAGAGATTTCTTTCTTTTTTTTTTAAGAATGACAAACATTTAAAATTGGGAAATAAAGTGGACTTTATCTCCCTAAAAGGAATGGTTGTAGAACAGCAAAATCTTTTTCTATCTCCAGAAGGGAATTGTGGTAAGAGAATACAAGACTTATGGGGAATTACTGGTATTATCAGAGGCTTTTCAAAATAGACTTGAAATGAATAGCTGTGTGCTGGTTTTATTGCTGCTTTGTAAGTTTACACTTTGTTTTCGTATGGCATTTTTCTCCCCTCTATGAGATGGTTGCTAGGGCTTGAGAGCAAATAACCTTTATCGTGTTGAATTTGGGACTGAGCATAATGATCTTATAATTTGGGTTCATAGTGCCATTTTTGACAGTTATATTATGAGCTTTTTGAGGCAAATTGAGCCCACATGCTGTAAGCTGCTTCCTATTCAGCTGCCCTTCAAGTTACGATGTCTCTGCCCCCACACCCCCATTCCTCTGGGCTTGGTCAGCCTCAGGACCAGATGTTCCTAGAGGCAAACCAGATGATCCAGTATGGGCACTGCAAAGCTCCAGCATTGCCTCCTCTAAAAAGACCCTTGTCCCAAGTCAGCATGTTTTTCCAGATGCCTCCATGGACGTGAGTCTCAAGGGATGCTGTAACAGTTATCACTACAGGCACGCTGCATTTTTCCTAACAGAGGAAAGTCAGGAGTAAACAGAAGTTTTGCAAATCAAGTCAATGTTTCTAGTAACCTGCATGACCATTTCAGAGATGCTTCATCTTCATTTCTGACTGGTCTTCAGTTGGCAGCACTTCTTACCTAATCTATCCCACAGCATTTCTGTAAAGGAAGGGAGTGAGCTATAAATAAACTCTTAAATGCACCATGGGAGCACATTGCTTACAGAAATCCTTCTTTTAAATGACAATAATTTTCTCTGTTCCTTCCTATTGCCCTAGCAGAAGTGGGTTCCCCCGGAAGCAGACCTTGAGATAGGGGTTTAAAGTACAAATGCTTTATTAGGGACATAATGCCAGGAAACACCAGAAGGGGAGTGGGAAGTGATGCAGAGAAGGAAAGGAAGTCAATAAAAGATATGTCATGGAGCAGGTTAGTACTGTAGGCAGGTGGGGCTCAGTCCTACAGGGGATCTCTGGGAGACAGTGTCGAAGACGCTCAGATTTGGACCACCTGAGGGTGAGGTGTAGTCATTGGTTGAAGGCTGCTTCCAGGGACAGGGTGGAGGTTAATGTCTCAGCACCTCTACCTTCTACATGGGCAGGGACTACCGAAATCCCAGAAAACTCTTGGATTGTAAGTGCTGGAGGTTGGAAGCCAAGGCAAATGTAAATGGATGAAATGTAAATGCTTATGGGCAGGACACCAGCATGTCTGCCACGTTTAGCTTCTCGGAATATATGTAAGGAAGTAGAATCTCCATTGCTCCTGAGAGTCACTAAACAACCACTCTTTATTGGTAAGTGTCTCCTGTATGCATTTTCTACAAATCAAAAAAAGGTTTTTAGAGACTTATTAGAAAAGCGAAATATTTCCTTAAATATTTTCTTTATGCAGAATACTAGGAAAAGGTACCAGTGGCTTCGAACAATAGATTAATATCAAGCCTTTTCAAAATGCTCTCACACAGGGGCCAGCCCCATGGTGTAGTGGCTGGGTTTGTCATGCTCTGCTTTGGTGGCCTGGGCTCATGAGTTCAGATCCTGGGTGCAGACCTACGCCACTCATCAGACATGCTGTGGTGGTGACCCACATATAAAGTAGAGGAAGACTGGCACAGATGTTAGCTCGGGGCTAATCTTCCTCAGCAAAAAACAAAACAAAACAAAACAAAAAATGCTCTCATCCATCATTTTCAGTGGATGGAGAATATAGAAGTAAATATATACAGGCTTTATTCTCAAGCTGGTCTTTAATCCACCAACAGTGGACTTCCAAAATTAGCATATGCTTGCCTTTTAGATGTTTTTCAAAAGTGCTTGCATATCCCTGGGTACCTTGCAGACCGTGGTGTGGCAGGCAGACTATCTATAACTTGCCCAAGTGGGTAGGGGCCAAACAAAGGTATGTGACACTGTTTTTTATTCCTAGGTACCAGCTCCAAACACTGACAACCAAAAAGCATGATTAAACCCAGTCATCTTAATTCCCACAACATCTCGTGGGGGTCCTGAATCCTCTTGTCCCCAGTGAGTCCTGCTGCACTCTTTATCCCTAATGACTCTTTGGCAGCTGAACCAATCACCTCCCAGTTGATTTCCTATTGTTTTGAGGGTCTATGTGTCTAAATTCCTAACATAGTGTCATAGAGGGATGTTGGTGACGAGGAGAATTAAGCTCGTGGAGTCCTTTGTCATAGATGCCACAAAATAGTGGAGCTGAACTTCCCTTGAGAGGCACATTGATGGACTGGCATCTCAGCAAAACAGAATCCAGAACAGTTCTATATCAAGTCTGCCTAAGTGGCAGCCCATTCCTGTATCAGATCTATCGACCACGTCTACTTTGACTCCTAATTCTAGTCCCTGATATGTAATTCATGAAACTTTAGAGCTAGAAAAGACTTTAAAGATCATCTAGTCAACCTGTCTATTTTACTGATAAGGACACCGAATTCCAGTGTGGTTAAGTAATTTACCCAGAGTCTAACAGCTAGTGAAGAGCTGGGCCAAGGGGAGGGAGCTGGTCTCTTCTCACTTGGCTATGAAGCTAATAAGTTAAAATAGCAGAATTTTTCATTGGATTCAGTGGAAGTAAATGTTTAGTTCCACAATTTTTTAAATTCCTGCTCAAGGTAGTACAAGGCACTGTGGGGATTTGAAGAACAAGACAGAGTACCCTCATGGCTGTTAGAAATGCAAATGTGAACACAGTCTAGCAGAAGAATTGATAAACTGAGGCACTTACCCTGGACCTCCTGTTCTGATGAGCCTACTGCTGCCAGCAAGGAATCCAGCCTTCCAAATCTGTGCTAGGATGTGGGGTTCTAGGGGGTGGCGGAAGAGACAGGAACTGACATCCATGGACATTAGGATAAGGGAGGAAACTCCCCACCCCTTAGCTCCCTTCCGTCTTGACCAAGATTACTGAGGGTTGGGGCTGGTTGCCTAGCAAGAAGATGCCCTGCTTCCAACTACGTACAGCCACTTCCTGACTGTACAGCCTTGGGCAGGTACTTCATCCTCCTAAGATTCAATTTCTTTACTTCTGAAATGCTATCAACAGCAGCACTCAATAACTCTTTACTGTTATTGTCATTGTTATTTTCCCCAGTCGCTGCCTTCTGTCCCAGCCCCATAACACCTCCCCATTTCTCTATCTCTTCTGTAGAGTTTTCCGACCATCACTTTTTCCCCCAACTCGCCTCTCACTAACACTTTATCCCTCTGTTCTCTTGCACTGTCTGCTTAAGCTCTTTGCTCCTTGCTTCCAGCTCTCTGCCCCTCCTATTTCCTCTCCCCTCTCCCTGGTCTTTATTCCTTCCGACACTTCCAATTCATGCCCCATCCTCCACCCTATTTTCTCTATTTTCTTACAATTTATGCTCTTCATTCCAACTCCCCAATTCCTTTCACCTACCCTATCCCTGTTCCTACTCTACCAGGTTCTCTTTCCCTTCATTGTTACTATTTTTCTCCTCCTATTTATCTATCGTCTCCTCTTCTCCCTTCAGCTTCCCCGGCTGCCCCTTCACAGGCCCACTTGCTCTCCCCTCTTTCATCTCCTATGCCCAGTTAGGAGCTCCATCCCCACACCAATCTCATTCACAGTTTGGATCCTGGAAGCATACTTGGTTATTGTGGTAGGCAGCCTCTGAGATGGCTACCAATGGTCCCTACCTCCTGATATCATGCACTCATGGAATTTCCTCCCTTTCCATGTGGGCTGGACCTAGTAACTCGATTCTAATGAATAAGTTATGACAAAAGTGATGGGAAATCATTTCTGAGCTTAGGTTAATAAAGACTGTGGCTTCCATCTCAGGCACTTTTTGGCTGTGAGGAAGCCAGCTGCCATGTTGTAAACTGCCCTATTGAGAGCCCCCTGTAGCAAGGAACTGAAGGCTCCAGCCAACAGCCAGTGAGGACCTGAGGTCTGCCGACAGCCACAGGAGTGATCCTCCCCTACCTGAGCCTCGAGACAACTGCAGCCCATGAGAGATCCCAGGTCTGAGGCACCCAGCTAAGATGCTTCTGTATTCCTGACCCACAGAACCTGTAAGTGTTTATTGTTTTAAGCTGCTAAATTTGGGGGTAATTTGTTATGCAGCAATATTAAAAATGCAGAGTTGTCCTTTACAGGCCACCATTCAGAAATGTTTGTCTTCTATAACCTTGAGCAAATCACTGCCACTCTTTGGGCCTCAGTCTCCTCATCTGTGACCCTAGGGGGTTAGAGACTAGTGTCCTATTCACCTGTCCCTGAGGATGTAGTCTATGAGGTTATAACAAGGCCTATCTGTTCTACCGTTTAGCCTGGAAAGCCCAGTTAAACCTGCTCATCTCTGTATGTTAAGCTCCACATCTTTATATTTGCCTCACATTTTTCACTCCTATTATCTGAAGTCTGTTTCTAATTTCTGATAGAATTGCAGTGGCCTATTGTGTGCTTTGCTCTGCATGACATGCCAATTTCATTTTGTAGTCACGGCTATTGTCTTTTTCTCTGCTAATCTCTCTTGTTTTGCAAAATTCCAATAGAACGTGTGAACATAGAGAGTTGCCCTTGTGCCTGATCTTGGCGCTGTGTGGCCCCCCATCAGGGGTGGATGATAGACAGACAGACAGACAGCCTGTCTGCCACCCGAGGCATCTTTTCTTGCTTAAAAATTTGCTTTCCAGATTGCAGACTCCCTTCCAACTTGAGCAAAGACTGGAACATATTAAATAAAGGCAGAGCTGAAATTAGATGGAATGTCTCAGCCACTTAGATTCAGACCTCTCTTTCGGGGGAACACGTGAGAAGGGGGCCGGGATGTGCCTGCATGGATAACGTAGGGGAAGACGGCTTCCATACCTTTCTCATACCATTCAAGCCTTAAGCAGGGGCAACATATTTTTTCTTAAGCAGGGCCTGTAACCCAGGATCCATCACTTCTGTATGGTGTCCATGGCAACCAGGCAATGGTATGGGATCCCTTCTCACTGGGGAATTCCTTTTATGGCTCATTTCCGAAACCAGCATGGCCAGTACAGGAGTCTGCAGTTTCCCAGTTGCTTAGCAACCAGCTCCTATGCTCTAGTCACTAGGAAAAGCAGACAGTTGGGTTTTTTTTAAGTGTTTGTCGTCAGAATCATATGTTACATTCTCTCTACTTTGTCTCTTTAGAATAAAATAATTAATGTGTGATAAGGATGCGGGAAAGGGCAACCACTCCCCGTTGTTAATGCCTCCACTGCTCCAGGCGGGCTGTTGCAGGCAGGGAGAGGGAGGAAAATGTTAGCATGCTTTCGGCTGGTAATTAAGCAGCACAAGCCATCTGCACATTGAAAGCTCTACATTTTTCACATCTCGTGGGGGTATCAAGTAAGTACAGGGCTCGCAATCTGTATGCTGCATTCCCACCCCCAAACCAGAAAAGCCAGACTCCACCCACAGGTGTCACCGGACTGCCTCTCCTTGGCTTACATTTGGCAGGGGGCAAGGGGGAGTGATTTGGTTTGTTGGGGTTTTGGTAGAAAGGCAAGGAGACCATGCAGTGGTTCTCAACTCGGGCTGATTTTGCCCCCAGGTGACATTTGGCAAGGTCTGCAGACATTTTTGGTTGTCATAACTGGTGAAGGAGAGGGATGCTATGGATATCTAGTGAGTAGAGACCAGGGATGTTGCTAAACGTCCAACAATGCAAAGGACAGCCCCCAAAAACAAAGAAGTATCCTGCCCACAATGTCAATATGCTGAGGTTGAGAAACCCTGAGTTAGAGGAATCAGAATATCCAGCTGTCTTGTTAGTAGCTGACTAGGAAAAATGTTGACAAAGTAAAGGGTGGGACTGATAAAAATACCTTCAACAGACACAATTCCAGCGAGACTTTCTGTATGGCATGGAAGTCCTCCGCTCCTGCCAGAAGTGGACTGAGCAGAGGTGTAGAGCAGACAGCCCTCTGGAGTTGGTGGCCGTGGAGGTAACCCCTGAGGTTGTCTTCCTATAAGGAAAGAGGACAGAGACGGAATGTCTCTCCCCCTTCCAGGCAGGCAGCTTTGGCGTTAGATTTGGTGTCACTGCTGGGTCTACTGCCCGTGCGCTGTGGACTCTTAGGCACTTTACATAATTGCTCTGAGATGCCATCTTCTCAGCTCAAAAATGGAAATTAAAATGGGTGTCATGAGAATTCCATGGGACAGCATGTAAAATGCCTGACCCCTCTTAGGCCTCCCAGTCCTCTTCTTGTCTCAGCCCCAGGACCCTAATTGTCCCCTCTCTCCGGCTGCGTACTTTGAACTTTAGAGGAATATGAATAAATGCACTCAATGGTCCTACGATGACGGAGGCCATTTTTTTAAGCAATGAGCAAAGGACAAAAGCACCATTTTTGGAATTTTGGCTGGTAGTCTTAGACTAAATTTAGGTATGAAGGACAGAAAAACAAACAGGTGAGATGAGAGCAGTATTGCCATTAAGAATACACCTGGGCTTTAGGTCCCAGCTCCTCCGTTTACTGGCTGTGTGACCTTGAATAGTTACTTAAACTATCTGAGCAGCTTCTCATCCATGAAATGGGGATAATTATTATTCTTGTGGTATTATTGTAAGAATTAAGGATAATGTATGTAAAAGTACCTAGCCAGGTGCCTAATATTAGGTAGGCACCTAATAATATGACAATATACACATTCGTATAGGCAATCTTCCCTTTTTTTTTTTAAGTAAGATTGGCACGTGTAGTCTAAGCCATGATCTTTTCCACTGAGGCTATAAGGCTGTGTGTTAGGAAGATGCAGTCGGCCTCCCTATTATCTGCAACAATCAGATTTCCCTCAGTAACCTATAATAGTTCCAGCGACCACGCATTATGTAAGCAGTTTTGAAGCTATTTCTATTTTCAGCCTAGGCTACCTCTTGGAGGGTAATGAGTTCCATACATTTAGCAACCATTTTTCACTTGCTTGAAATTTTGAGACTATCTCAGGATACCTCCTACTTCTAATAAGTGGGTTTCAGTCGGGTCAATGTTCACATTATTTGTACCTTTCCTAATTTTCTAGACTGTAGCATATCCCGTCAGCTTCCAGCCTCCGCTCTGGCCTCGTACAGAAGCACCTCCAGTCCCTTGATCACTTGAAATTTCTTTCTGGTAATACATCAACCAGAACAGCACATTCCTTATAAACAGTAAGGTAATATTTTCTTTGTATTTTTGTTCCTTATTCTTCCTAACGATTTCTAAAAATTGGTAGGTCTTTGGGGGCCTGTCTTTGCTGCACACTCTTGCAATGAATCCCAAGTCCTTTTTCTGGGTCACAAGAGCTGATTCATAATGGCGGCATCTCATCTTCCGTAGTTTGTACTTTTCCTCCCTGTCATCCTCTTATTCCCACAAAGTTTATCTGCCAAGGCTTTGCCCACTCACCTAGCCTCATTTAATCTCACCACAGTTCGCTTCCTGTTGAACACCCAACAGAGGCCAGTGATCTCTAAAAACTTAAGAGATTTCACTCCCTCTTCTAGATTGTTCTGTGATCCCACCTAATTTTGCCCAATCAACTGAAGCTTCTTGGAAGTGCAGCTCTAAACATGTCACTGCTAAGATTTTCCCCTCCACAGGGGATAATTAAATGATGTTAAATTTAGAGGCTGCTTGCTCATCCCTCCCAAGCAGAATTATGGAATCTCACCTGGAAGCCACTACAAGTGTTCCCACTTGTGGCAGAAGCATGTAGAAGCCCAGCTCCCCAAAACGCAGCACACAGGTGCCTCATCTCTGAGCAACTGGCAGGAGCCAGAGCCACAGTCACAGTCACCCCAGAGCTGTGAGCAGCTGGAGACAGGACATCTCGAGATTTACCAGGAGGACCAGAAGCACTCAAAGTATGTGGAGGTCAGAGCAGTGGCAAAGAAAGAGTCCAGGAGGTCTGGAGAGGGGTCAAGGGGCATCAGGCAGCCGAGGGCAAGGCAGGCAGCACGTCTGGGATCCGGGATGACAGATGGGAGATTCAAAACAGGACTCCATTTGAGCCCTGAAACAAGGCAAATTTTTATCAGGGCGGGAACTGAGCTCCAGGAAAGAGAGCAGTGCAACTGGGCCTGGCTGAAAAAGCTCGGCAGATCCTTATAATAATAAAGCGGAGGGGGAAACAGAGAGGGAAGGGGGTTCATGCCTTCTTTGGGGCAAATAATTTTCTCCCTATTCCTGCAACAATAGTGCAGGTTCCTAGAAGATCAGCCGGTCGGTCTATTAGCAGGTAATGTTAAGTGTGTCCCCTGTGGGTATTGCCCCTCTCTATGGCTTTCATAAAGCTCCTGCAGAATGCCAATCTCATGAGAAGCTCCAAGAAAAACATGTTTATGATCATGAAGTTTGGGGTTTTTGCAAACTACAGGTCCCTCGTGGAAATTCAGTGTACATTAGCATTTTCAAAGCTCTGAAAACTGTGATATAGAAATCTTTGTTTTTAATTCAATGTTTCTCCAGCATAGTTGATGAGATCCCTTGTTACGTAAAAACTATGAACATCCTGTGGACACACCTTGAGACATTGTTCTAGAACATTCCTACTCTGGTGTTCCCAGGCCCTTCACAACCTGGACCTGCCCTTGTTTCCCAACTTTCCTTCCTTTATTTTCCTACATTCCAGCCACACTGACTCCTCCCTTCTACATGCCTCTGTTTCACATTTCCTTTTTCTTTTACAGCAGGTGATTCATCTGCCCAAAAATGGAGAAAAAGCTGAGCCTTCCTCACTTCACCCCCACTCTCCATTTCTACCTATCCTTTAAGACCCATCTCAAAAAGGACCTTTGATCCATCTCAGCCCCAGCCTTCCTGTTACTACAGATCCCTTCTCTCCTCTGATCCCATATGTCACACTATCTATTACTTTTAGGGCACTTAACACTTTTTTTTAAAAATTCTTTCTTTATTGCAGTAACAGTAGTTTATAACGTTATATAAATTTCAAATGTACATCATTATAAATTTCAATTTCTGTGCAGATTACAACATATTCACCACCCAAAGACTAATTACCATCCATTACCACACACGTGTGCCGTGCCTAAACACCCCTTTCACCCTTCTCCCTCCCTCCTTCCCCTCTGGTAACCACCAATCCAATCTCTACTTCTATGTGTTTGTTTGTCATTATTTTTATCTTCTACTTATGAGTGATTTCATACAGTATTTGACTTTCTCTCTCTGACTTATTTCACTTAGCATAATACCCTCAAGTTCCATCCATGTTGTCACAAATGGCCGGATTTCATCATTTCTTATGGCTGAGTAGTAATCCATTGTGTATACACCACATCTTCTTTATCCATTCATCCCTTGATGGGCATCTAGGTTGCGTCCAAGTCTTGGCTATTGTGAATAATGCTGCGATGAACTTGGGGGTGCATGTATCTTTATGCATGTGTGTATTCATGTTCTTTGGATAAATACCCAGCAGTGGAATAGCTGGATCATATGGTAGATCTATTCTTAATTTTTTGAGGAATCTCCATACTATTTTCCATAGTGGCTACACCAGTTCACTTAGCACTTTTTAATTTGTGTATGGCCATTTATGCCTTTCTTATTAGGAGACAGAATCCACGTCAGATTCATTTTCATATTCCTGCCCCAGAACACAGTATGTCTGTAGGATTGTCAGAGGGAGCAGAAAGTATGATGCTATGACCTCCAAGGCTCAAGGAAGTTTCTCAAAATTCAGGCCGCAGATGGCAAATATCTGGCTGCCAACCCACACTCTCTCACTGGTGGCAAACGGGCACATCAATCACAATGTGATCTCCCTGGGACCCAGATGACCCCCCTCCCCCCACCCCGAATGCTTCTCAACTCAGAGCTCCAACAGTTATAATCAATGGGTTAGGGTTGGCACAATGGAGGACATCTAATTGTCATTCCTGATTTGGACTTTTCCACGAAATGATAGTTAAGAAAATTTAGCAAGCTGAATATTGGAGCTGTTAATACTTCAGATCAGGGACTGTCCGTAACAGAAAAGAACACTTAGCAAAACTATTCATTATACTTTCATGTTCATGTCTAGTCTCAAGGCTAATTATTTGTATAATTAACATGTTACAAAATGCAAATAATTGATGAGCCTGACTTCTTGCAATGAAACATGAGTCTTGTGAAATGTAAATAGCTGTAAATTACTAACAGCTTTTCTTTACTTAGGCTTTCTAATAGGGCAACACCTGTAACTTAAAGAAACGATGTAAGTATAATCCCACTTATGTGAAAAAAAATAACACCAACAAAATAAGACAATATGAAGTGTATTTAAATGCATAGAAAAAGCACGTTTTAATTCTCACTCAATCACTTTCTACTTGTGTGACCCTGGGCAAATTACTTAATCTCAATTTACTCATGTTATTTATAAATCTTGGTTTCTGCATTTATAAAATGGGTATAACAGCAGCCCCTAGGTTACAGGGTTGTTATGAAAATTAAATGGGTGTTAAGTCATTTGTAAAGAGTACACAATAAATGTTAGCCATTGTTTTCATTATTGCACTTTTATATTGCTTGGATTTTTTTTACAGTGAGTACGTAAGAAACATTAGAGGGAAAAGGAACGTATACAGATGTCTCTGTTATAACACCATCTCCGTGTTCCTGAAAAGCTCCCATGGTTTACAAAATAGTCCACTGAAAGTAACTGCGCTGCTGGGGAGAAAAATAGGTGTGGGGCAGACCACTCAATCTATGCAACTTTATAACATTGTTTTGCACTAACCAAAACAACATCAAAATTAACAAAATATTAGCCCTACTAAATCTCAACTTGCACAAACATTTGCATGCTGCATCCCAGCCTTGAACCCTGGGGCTCCTGGTGCTTCTTTTGAGAGAAAAATCTGCGTGGCATTTCTTCCTAATAGGGACCAGTTTCATTCAAAATTAAATATTTAAGGAGTAGTGTTTTTCACTAATCTGTCCTTCTTGTTTTCTTTTGTTTTTTTAAAAGATTGACACCTGAGCTAACATCTGTTGCCAATCTTCTTTTTTTTTTTCTCCTCCCCAAAGCCCCCCAGTACATAGTTGTATATTCTACTTGTAGGTCCTTCTGGTTGTGCTATGTGGGATGCCACCTCAGCATGGCCTGATGAGTGGTGCCATTACTGTGCCCAGGATCCAAACCGGCAAAACCCTGGGCCACTGAAGCAGAGCACGTGAACTTAACTACTCAGCCATGGGGCCAGCCCTGTCCTTCTCATTTAATGGGAAATCGTCTTTGCATCTTCTTCATCACCCTGAGTTTCTCCAGAAAGCTTGACATGAGGATAATACAGTGATTCTTCAAATCACTAAATCAGTCACTTTCTGCAGCTAAACAAGGCAGCTCTGTGTATTCTCAGCTTTTCCTTAAGGCTTTCATAGAGTGCTCTTATTAAAGAGGTAGTTACTGTGAGAAGGCTTGCCTCTGGTTGCTTCAAAATATTAACATGCTAGAAAAAAATTGCATAGGAACCAACGTGACTTCCATGTTACACCAATTCCCCTTTTGCCGATGGCATGCGAGGTCATTCACATTTAAGCAAAACAGTTGTATGAATATCTCTTACCAGTTGCTGTAGTAGGAGGTAAATATAAACCATGTGACTTAATCTGCACATTTATCTAATGTGATCGGTATTCTTATCTGTGAGGCTCAGGAACATTGACTAACTTGCCTAAGATCACAAGTTTTTAAGTAGCAAAGCCAGGATTCCTAGCTAGAGTCAAAATGACTCTCAAACTCCTGTCTTTAAGACCACACTACCAACTTAAGAGTGGATGGAGGCAGGAAAGAAGACAGACATCTCTGGCTGTGTTGATGAGTGAAAGCCCAGGTACTAACATTTTATCCTCACAACAACCCTGTTACTTAGGTAATCTTACCACCACTTTATTGATGAGGAAACTGAAGCTCAGACGAGTATAACTGGCTGGTAGTGGAGCCAGGATTCAAACCCAGGCCTACCCGGTTCCTAAACTGAGGTGTTTCTCCCACATCCTATTTATGTTTAAAGACACCATTCCCTGAACTCCTTGGTGAGTCTGCCTGCTAGTTTTCAAAAAAGCTAAGTGAGCTGGACACCCGCATTCTCATATTATCTCATGTGGCAAATTTCACTGTGCATGTGTGCACACACACAACTGGCAATCCTTATAGGTGCAGGTTATCAAGCATATTTCATAGCACAGTCGTAAAGTAATAGCCTTTTCTTTCTTTCAGTGTTTTTGAATTTTTTCTTTTTACAATTTAAATATCCCAGAAGAGAATTTGTAGTTAGGAAAATATTACCTACTTAGGGTCCATGAAGAGGAATTTATTAGGTAGAATATCATTTATTGACTCTGTTAATATATTTTTGACTGTAATTATTTAACAAATACTAAAAAGGGAATATTAGTTTATTTTTAAAGAACTGACAGTGTATTTGATCATTACCAAACTATAATTATAAAATTTATTGGCCATGATAATGCTTTTCTTCATATGGAAATAGGATATCAATCTACTGATTAGAGAACTAAATGAAATTAGGAAAACAATGCACAAACAAAACGAAAAATTCAAAGAAATAGAAACCATCAAAAAAAAAAATCCCAAAGCTGAAAAATACAATGACTGAGCAATTCAACAAAGAGCTTCAAAAACAGACTTGACCATGCAGAAGAAAGAATCAGTGACCTAGAAGACGGGGCATTTGAAATTATCCAGTCAGGGCAGCAAAAGAAAAAAGAGTGAAGAGTGAAGAAAGCCTATGGGACTTAGGGAACACAATCGAAAGAAACAATATCCACATTATAAGAATTCCAGAAAGAGAAGAGAAAGGAATAGAAAGTATATTTAAAGCAGTAATGGCTGAAAACTTACCATACCTATGGACAAAAATGGACACCTAGAGCCATGAGGCCCAAAGGACCCCAAATAGGTTGAGCCTCAATAGGGTTACACTGAGACACATTATAATTAAATTGTCAAAAGTCAAAGACAAACAATTTTGAAATTAGCAAGAGAAAAGAGAGAAGTTACATGCAAGGGTTCTTTCATAAGTCTATGGGCAGACTTCTCAACAGAGACTTTTTAGACCAGCAGAGAGTGGGATGTTATATTCAAAATAATGAAAGAAAAAAATTGTCAACCAAGAATTCTATACCCAGCAAAGTTGTCCTTCAGAAATGGAGAGATAAAGACTTTCCTGAACAAACAAAAGCTGAGGGAGTTCATCACCACTAGATCAGCCTTACAAAAATGCTGAAGGAAGTTCTTTGGGTGGAAGTAAAAGGATGCTAATTTACATCATGAAAACATAAGAAGGTAGTGTAAAATTCACTGGTAATGATAAATATATAGTTAAAGTTAGATTCTGTAATATGGTAATCATGATGTGTAATTTACTTACAACTCTAGTTTAAAAGTTAAAACAAATGTAGTAAAAATAACCATAACTACAATAACCTGTTACTGGTTGCACAATATAAAAAATATGTAAACTGTAACATCAATAACAATATAACTGTAACAATAAAATGTGAGGGGGAGAAGTAAAAGTGTAAAACTTAGGAATGCTATTGAAGTTATCTTTTTTTGGGGGGGGAAGATTAGCCCTGAGTAACATCTGCTGCCAATCTTCCTCTTTTTGCTGAGGAAGACAGGCCCTGAGCTAACATCCATGCCCATCTTCCTCTACTTTATATGTGGGATGCCTGCCACAGCATGGCTTGCCAAGCAGTGCCCAGTCTGCACCTGGGATCTGAACTGGTGGACCCCGGGCCACCAAAGTGGAACATGCACATTTAACCACTGTGCCACCAGGCTGGCCCAAAAATTATCATTTTAAAATAGGGTATTGTAATTTTAAGATATTTTATGTAAGCCTCACAGTAACAAGGGGAAAATCTGTACTAATTACACAAAAGAACGTAAGTCAAAGCATACTGACACCAAGACATCAAAACACAAAAAAGACAACAGGATAAGAAACAAGGAACACTGGATCTACAAAAGCCAGAAAATAATTAACAAAACGGCAATAATAAGTCCTGACCCATTAATGATTACTTTAAATGTAAACAGA